AACAAAAGGGGAGGCTAATTTATTCTTTTTAACTATATTAAAGGTATTTATAGAATAAAAAGTTTGCAATTTACCATTAGAAGTATTAGAGTAGTTGCTAATTAATAAAGAAAAATTTTCACAATTTGGAATTTTAGAAGGTACAGAATCTAACTTAAAAATATGATTACTATTATTTATGAGTGAAGAGAAATTACTATTGGCATAATTATTAGGGAAAGCTTTTACTCTATTATTATTAATCACATTACTCAAAAGGTTTTGAGAATAATTGAAAGAACTATTTACATTTTTAATTTTAATTGAATTATCAATTATAGGAGTAGAAAAGTTAAAGAGAACAAGAATGGGAGAAATTGGATGAGGCCCTACAATATGTAAGAGCTTAGGGTTAAGAGGTGTTGAAAAGAAGAAGTCATGAGCTAGTTTTTGTAAAGACTTAGAGGCCAGTTCTACAAAAACTGAGGTAATATAAGCTTTGAGATCTTGCAAAGGACCTGATACATTAATAGTTGAGGACTCTGATGAGTTTAACTGATAATTTTCTTCAATTCCAGATTAATTATATACTCTATTTTCTAATTTCTCTTCTTTGTACTCATTACTATCACTTGATTCATATTCTGATTCTTTCTTATTTTCTTTTAGATCTTTAATCCTCATAAGATGATTTTTATTTAATAGTTCTGGAGTTAATTATTTAAATTTTATAGACATCACTATTTCTATCTTGTTCCAAGTGAACATCATTTTAGCAGTTGTTTAGTTAATTTTAGCTCAGACCTTGGAAAGCCAATCATTGCCAACAATAGCATAATAGGAGTTAGTGCAGTTACAACAATATTGATAGAAATTTCTATATTAACAATAGAAAACAGAAAATCAAAGGTTTTCTATAGAGCTGATTTACTTTAACCTTGTATATTTACCATGTTTATGATAGAGAGTCGTTCAACTTTAATACCAAGATCATGTAATAAATGAGAAGAGACTACACTACCAGAGGACCTACTGTCTACTATCAAAGGTACTTCTACTCTTAAAATAGTAGTATTGCAATAAAAAGCAGTTAACTTTTTATTTGAGGTTATACTAATATTGGTCTTTACTTTTCATTTAGTAAGAATCTTTTTCTTATAGAGACTTTAAATTAATTCAGTACGCATTGCAAAATTTACTCGCAATAGTTGTCTAATAGTAATATTGGTGGGTTTATCTCATAAAACAGTAATAACAGTGTAAAGAGAAACTAAAAAAGAGATTTGAGGCATCTTATCCTCAGGAATGTTTTGTTTAATTACCGGTGTTAACCTTAAGAGTTTTCACCTTTTTGCCTGTAATATTTTTAGAGTACAAGTCAAATGAATCAATTAATTCAAGTTTTGAGTGATATGCGTCTAAGTGGGAAAATAAAATTAAAGAATACTAGTTCAATAAAAACAATTCTGATATTGATAATATCATCAATAAAACAAGAAGACAAATTAAAATAAGAGAAGAAAAACTTAGACCACCTTTGACTAGGTGTTTACATGATTTGGCTAGAAATGACTATTTTCAGGAACAAGGTATAAAACCAGATCTTCAGAGATATATTTTTTTTAAGTCTACTAGAAAGCAAATAATCCTATTAGAAACATATTGATTATTACTATAAAAAAGAAATTAGTAAAAACAATGGTTATAAAATAAAACATCTTGAAGAAGAACACTCTAGATGGCTTTAAAATTTTTTGAAACAAAATTTGACTTTATTTGCTTGGGAAGACCATAACTAGGGTGTACTAGTTTAATTAAGCATAGTATTAGTACAGAAAATGCCCTATCTATAAAGCATCATCTATATCAATATTTGTCTGCTGAAAAAAGAATTATTAAGACTAAAATTAATCAAATGTTAAAAGAAGATTTTATTCAACCTTGTAAAAGTCCTTAGATCTCTCCAGTGGTATTAGTACTCAAACCCGATAGTTAAACTCAATTTTGTATTAACTATCAAAAGTTAAATTTGGTAATTCAAAAGGATAATTATTCTCTACTTTGTATACAGGAACTCCTTGATGCTTTAAGTAATTCATTGTAGTATAGTTCACTTGACTTGGCCAGTGGATACTAGCAAGTTAAAGTAAAAGATTTAGATAAACTTAAAACAGCCTTCACTACCCTTTTTGGTATATACATATTTTATATTATGCTCTTTGGGTTAACAAATACTCCTGCTACCTTCCAATGCCTTATGGATTATCTGTCTCAGGACTTAATTGTTGGATACCTAAATGATATTAATGTTTATTGCAAATCTTTTAAAAAATATTTATATTACTTACAAACAGTTATTGAGTAACTTAAAATGGTCAGTCTTACTCTAAACCTTCTAAATGTTTCTTTGCGCAATGAGAATTAAAATTTTTAGATCATGTAGTCAATAAAAAAGGTATAAATCCTCATCCTCAAAAGATAGAAGCAGTAAAAAATTTTTTGATTCCTAAGCACTTAAGGCAACTAAGAGGGTTCTTAGGATTAGCCTTATATTATAGAAAATTTATAAAAAATTTTACTCAAGTTGCTGCTCCCCTTAATCAATTATTACAGAAAAATATTGCTTATAAGTGAAGTGTAGAGCAACAAAAAGCTTTTGAAGCTTTAAAAGAAAAATTAATTACTACCCCTGTCTTGGAATATCTGGATTTTGGTAAAACTTTCATTCTCTTCACTGATGCTTTCAATATTGCATTAGGTGCTATTTTATTTCAAAAAATAAGAAAGGTTATGAGCAAGTTATCTTTTATGCAAGTTGAAGTTTAACACAAGCAGAGAAAAATTATTCTGTAACTGAAAAGGAATGTTTAGCCATAGTTTGGGCTGTTAGTTACTTTTGACTATATTTATATAGAAGTAGATTTATTTTATACACTAACCATTCTGCTCTTAAGTATTTATTTGAAGTTAAATTACCTCAATATCGTTTAGCTAGGTGGGTCATAACTTTTATAGAATATTTGTTTACAACTATGCATCAACATGGAAGACTTCATTTAAATGTTGATAGTTTATTATAAATTTAATAGAGCACTACCTATAAAAACCTTCTTGTTGAATAAAAATTTTTTTTTATTAAATTTTTAGAACCTGATAAAAACAAATTTTGTATTTTCTTTTTTTATTTACTTATTATCTTAAATCTGTGAATCCAGTCTAGGTTATGGTATCCTGGCATTTTCGATTTTATTTTTAGTTAAAATTTTGTTTTTAGCAAAGTTTTATTGCCCCCAGAACTTAATTTAAATTAAACCATTTTTTTCTAAAGTAAATCATGTTGGTAAACATGGATCTCTAATTATATATCCTTTATTTACAGTATCTTGTAGATACTGTAGTACTCTCCTATTTTACCTCCAAAGAAATTCAAAATTTAAAATATAGAGTCTAGCATTACATAGTTCTAGATGGAGTATTATATAATACTAACTCTTGTAATTCATTACATCCCCTAAGAGTTTTAAAGAAAGGTGAAACCAAAGCTATACTTTTTAGTATGTATAATAACTCTCTTGCTAGCCATTTTGGTTTTTATGCTACTTACTAAAGAATTGCCACCTATTACTTCTGGTCACAAATAGGTATTGATATTAAAAACTATATTAGCACTTGTGATGTATGCTAAAAGAAAAAGAAACCTAATACCCAAGAGCCTTTATTTCCTATTAAAGTTAGAAGACCTTTTGTTCACATTGAAATCGATATTGTAGGTCCACTTCCTGTAACTACTACTAATAAAAGGTATATTGTAGTTGCTATCGAGTACCTTACCAAGTGGCTAAAGGCTTGAGCTCTTGAAATAGTAAATGCTAAAAATGTAGCTACTTTTATTTTTGAAGACCTGATATGTTAGCATAGTAGCTCCAAGAAAATATTGTCAGATCAGAGTACATATTTTTGTAATAAACTTGTAGATGCTATTTGTAATAAATTAAGTATTACTCACTATATCTCTACATCATATCATCCTCAAACCAATGCTTGATTGAATGATTTAATAAAACTTTGTGTAGTATTCTAAGTAAATTTAATAAGAAATGTGATAAATATATATATTTTTTGCTTTTTTTGTTTATCATACTACCCTATATTGTACTACAGGATATCAATCTTTTTTCTTGTTATACAGACAATCACCTATTCTTCTGGTAGAAATTGATTTAATAACTCATCAAAACTAACCAGAAACCAAAAAAGAGTTACAAAATTTGATCTTAAGGCGGGTAGAAAAACTTATAAGTGAATTGGTAGAGGCATACAAGATAGCGACCCAGAAAATAAAAAATTACAAGTTAAACAAAAACAATACTATGAGAAGAGAAATAAAATAGAGTCATATGAGATCGGCAATCAAGTCCTTTTATATAGGTTTGATCTAGCCATATAGCTCCAAATTAGAACTCCAGAATTTAGAACCTTATTATATACATGATGTACTACCCTTTGGGTTATACAAATTGCAAACCTTAAATAGGCATGTGTTCAAGATTAAAATTTATAGAAACTAGTTAACTTTATATTATCTATGACAGAAATTTTGTGAAACCCCTTAGATTATGTTAGTCACGAGAAATAAAAAGTTTCTCTTTAAAATCTTGTTCTTTCTTTTCTATCTTATAAAAAATTTTTTTTAGTTATACAGCATATTAATATTCTTTTTATAATGTCTGTTGAAATTCCTGCCATAATAAAGAAGACCCTTACTACCCTTAAAACCCAAATGTTAAAGGCCAGTCTTGAAGGCACTTGCTTTGTCTCCACTAATAATATTATTTATTTGGCAGATTAACAATTACAAATTATTAATTTTAATCCTCCCAAATATAAAACTGATACACAATTGTTATATGATAAACTGTCTACCTTTCTTGAGGACCTTTGACAAAGCAAAGCATCAAATTATTTCATTGAAGTACCTTTGGGTGCAAAATGGGAGAACAAGGTAGCTCATGTGTGTTCTTAGCTTTTGTTCAGTAACTTCTACCATTTCAATTAGTTATTACATTATTATGTCTTTGGGTCTTTGCTAAAAGAAAAAGCATGGAAAGATGAGGCTAAAGCTTTCATTAAACAATTATTGCCTCAAAGATATGAAGATGTTTTAATTATAGCCCATAGAACCTATCTTTTGTTTCAGGCTCACAGTCCTTCTTATCTTTGTACACCTCAGGCTATTACCCTGTATGTTCTATGAAGGCTCTGAAAAGAAGACTTCGCCGTGTTGCAAAGTGATTAACAGGAGCTTAACGAAGTATTGGAATTGACCCATTTCACAGGGGCTCAATTATTAGGAGAGGCAAATGTGACAAATTGTATTCTTTTGTTATTTTATTTTATTTTATTTTATTTTATTTTCATTTAGTTTGTTATTTCACCCACCAATTCCATTTTGATAACAATACCTGTGTGTGTTGATGGTATGAAATTAATTAGTTATACTAATCGGGTAATTGATATGTGCTATTTA